TTGAAAAATATCTGTCATTTCAAAGTTTTGGGGTGTGGACCATCGGGGGTAGTCCGTTCCTGACTTTGTAGCAAAACAACTGACTCCTGCATGAAAGCTCATCGAAGGAATTCATTTGTTTAGTCAATTACCAAAATTTGGATGATTTTGAATATTCACTTGAAAAGTTATCAAAGAAAAACATTTTTCATTTTGTAACTTCGAGGGCCCGTTACTTGGTAACGAAGGATTTTAGGAAAAAAAGTTATATGAAGTACTGGTGATATTTTGACCCCATCTATACATTCCCGAGAGGAAAAGAGGAAGTCCAGGGACACCCTGTATAGAGGTTGTGTAATTCAGTAAACTGATGAGTTTGATTTTAAGTTTATTCTCTTCTCTTTAGGCATTTAAAAAAGCTTGTTTTTTAAAAAGGTTTTTTCACTAATTACTTACTTTTTATATTTTTAGTTGTCGCTGGACATGTTCGAAGTCATCACATACCTACCTGCACACAGCTTACCTATTTAAATCAGGCATTTCTGAGTTATTTTCAATTTTCGTTGGAAAAGAGGATGGCGTCATGATTCGATTCGATCTAAAAGTGTTTTAACGGGTATACTTCATTACCTGAGAAATATAAATTATTGATAAAGCCCTCGCGGCTTAATCGGTGTTGTTATTAGTAAATTAATTATATTTCTAGTTTGAACTAAAAAGACTACTTCAGTTTTCTCTCCCGTAAAACGAATGGGCGAATGTGCTTTTTGATAACGAAGAGGTTTTTGACGCTTTCATACACCAAAATCCTTCGTATGCTCGTTTGATTTTCTGGTGAAAATCTGTTCGCAAATGACAGAAGTTTCAAAATCATCGATATATAAATTCAAAAATGAGAGAAAAAGCAGCTGTGAAATTACCAAAACCATCCTTAAGAAGTAAAACTGTGCCTGTTGATGAAAACTTCTAACCTGCAATTAGAAGAACAGTGCTCACTTCATTTAACAACAAAATATCGATCCTTGATGAAATAATAGGAGCTTCGAAAAAAGACTAAAGTATGTCTTCAATGATAGGCAGAAAGAAATTGTCAAAAACTTTCAAGGAATTAAATTTCCACAACACTTCCATATATTTGAAATTTACTAAATATATCATCTTCTGCTGTAAAATGTATTGTTTATTCAGACTGCTAAATCTAAAATCATATATAGGGTGATCTATTTGAAATAATACAGTACTACCAGACGGTAGCCTAGTTGGTTGGTTATCCAAAAAACCGCTATGTGAATATTGGTTCGATTTCAACTAGGAGACTGTAGAGTGTCACCACGATCGTCTGACCCGTGCTAGCTATCGCACGTTAAAAGGTGAGGCCTTGTCAGTTCGAACAAGTTTCGACTGCTGAAGGTTGTCGTTCGTGAGGGAGCGACAAGTGATTAACGAAAAAACCCATGTTTTGCAATGGATGCCTGATCATCCTTTCAATACTGTCACATTTACATAATTTTTTTTCATATTTTTCGCAGAAAGAAGTTTTTAGTACCTGTAATGAAACACAGAAATAAGATTGCTGCCATTCAGATATTCATGAAGTAAAAAACAGCAGAGAAAACAAGATATATATATATATATATATATAGTCTTTCAAGATGGCAAATGGTGCAACGTCTTCAGCAAGATTTTTGGAAGAGATGGCACAAGGAATATTTGCATACTCTTCTGCAACGTAGTAAATGGCTTGAGCCATCTACCCCAATAGAACTCGGTACAATAGTTCTCTTGAAAGAGGATCATAATCCTCCCATGAAATGGACTNATAATAAAAACAAAAATTAAAAAAAGATACCAAAAGGTCAATTTTCGAATAAGTTACGGCTATTTGAAAATTAAAAAACTATTTGGAAAACTTTTGGCCAGATCGAAAGGGGTCGGATTCAAAAGTGGTCAATTTGGCATGGAATACCCCATACACATTTGTGTCTTTTTCTTACAATTTTTTTTTTATCTAGGCAGTAAAGCAGTAGAGGTGAAAACAAAAAAACAATGATTTCTGAATGTTTAATAATCACCAAATAAAAACAATAAATATAAACATATAAACAGTTCAAGGACTACATTAAAATTTTTTACGAATCAACATTTTTACAGCACCTAACAACATATTGCAACAAGTTACTGAAATGAGTATATCTAATCAATCTCGATTAAATAATATCGTTTCTATATGGACGAAAAGCATGGATAACTAAAACTTTAAGCAGTTTTTTAATGATTTCATCAATACTATCAACTAAAAGGTGCTTGTCGTTTTCCTAAGACATCAAAAAAATATTAATGTAAACTTTTTCATACTAAAAAAGGTAATAAATACGGAATGTGTACAATTATAGTAATTTATAATTACAGGAAGTGAATACAGGACGATGTTGTAATGACGAAACTGATCAAAGTTACCTTCAACAATAACATCCATTTGACAAATGAGTTTATATATTCAAAATTAGTTCAGAAAACTATGAACTGTTTGGTAATAAATACTTCAGGAGTGATGAATTTGTATACATACCAATGTTACTTAAGATAATAAATATTTCTTTGGCTCAATGCTAATTGAAAAATAAATATGACATCAATATGTACCTGTGAATCATTTGTTAGATTAATTTCAGAAAAAGGCATACAGCATTTTTATTGATAATTTGGGCTTGTAGTAAATATCATCCTGTATTTAAGTTAAGTTATCAAACACAGTTGGTGTTACAAGACTCGGTAATTATATGCACTTAAATTAATGGACATTAATAGGAAAATTACCCATACTTAATAGCATAAAACATTTATAGTAGCTGGAGCTCTATACAAAATGAAGAATTCCAATAACAACGAAAAAGATTGATACATTTCAGAGAAATAGACAAAAAAGGAGAAATCAAGAAATTGCTGATGAAAAAATAAAAGAAGCTATAGAAAAAATTGTGGTAAAAAAACCAAAAAAAAAGATGGTGCAAAATTTTTAAGTAGAACTATATATATATATATGTGTTGTTTTTCCGGGTGTTCATCCGTTGTGTACTATTCTAAGACGTAAAAACATTCGGACAACCTACAAACCACACAAAACGATATCCAGTTGGCTGCCCAGACCGAAAGAGAGAATTTCCCTAGAAAACCAAGGAGTATATAGCATCACATGCGA